CATCGTTCTGCAGGATGAAACACGTGTGGGCAAATAGCTTGTATTTTTACAAATCGCTTCACCTTTTACTAGCATTGAAGACCTCTTTACTGCTGTGTTTCACAGGTGCTTTTTTGTGTACGTTGCTTAGTGCGCAGCGTTGCTTTCCTGTCTGGTCATACAGGTCCCGTTGAACAGTTTGCAGCTAAAGCCTGACTCATCACTAGCTGTTTTTAAAGAACACATGTATGAAATTTCTCTGTCCAGCTGACTAACATCTGTTTTCCAGCTTTGACAGAGATTGGTATTTTTTCTCTAGCTAGGCTTTAACAGAAGGAAACTTGAAGTAAGCTGCAAGCAAGGGGCAGTATTTCTGTTTCACAAAAGCCCCATGTGCCACTCATGGCCCTCTTTGCCAGAGAGCAACTGCTGCTTTTTTGAATTATTGGAGATAATCCATACAAATTCAGCTGTAGATAGATAAATGCGTTGGGGCTTTTCTAGCACAATTGCTCTCTGTAACCTCAAAATAAGGTAGGATAGAGGAGAGGTGGGAGGAAGCGTGTGTGCTGTGTGTCAGGTAATAGCTAGGCAGCAGCGTGCTGCCTGAGCCCCTGCCCCATCAGGATGTTTTGATGCAGCGGTCTTTTTCCTGGTGAAATTGTTCACTTTTCCCCCATTTGCTTTCATTGGTTTCATGTCATTTCACAGGCGCAGGAAGCCAGTCTGTGCACGGCCAAGCAGCTGTGATTTGCACGCAGGGAGCAGTAGTAACCTGTCTTCAGCCACCACTTCTCCTTGACATCTGCAAGTGGACTCCTGTAAATCCAGCTGTAGCGATTAGATAAGCTAGGGTTAGGCAGCAGGAGAAAAATAGAGACATAGACAGAGATACAGGCACCTATCTTTCTTTGTGACTTCCCTTACTCCATAAAGCCAAAATAACACATATGTGCTGCTAAGGAGCTATGTCCACCTGCAAGGGCTGGGCTCAGAGGGCTGCTTGTCACTGTTCCCTTTGCTTTCTCTGCTGTACCTTTCACCTTGCAGCACCCAGCAGTGCCTCTCTGCTTTGATAGCATCATTACAAAGCCATTGCTTTGTGGAAACTGCCTTATGCCAGACCTTCCCCTGCATGGTGTTTCTGGAGCAGTTTCCCTATCAAAGAGTATAAACAGCTGTAAAATTCTGTAAGACAGCTAAAAGCCCCAGCGATGGGGCATCAGAGGGGAGGGCTCCCACTCCCGCCTGCAAAGACATCCTGGCCCATTTCTCTCACCCACTGAATTAGCAGTGATACATTAGATGATAGACCAGAACTAGAAAGGAAACCAAGTACGGCTCCACTAATCTGACAAGGTGTTTTATCTTCTTGGCTGACCTGTGTGCCAAAGTGTAGCTTCTTGGGTACCTAGATACAAAGCTAACCCAGCTGGGGTTTTGTGGGGTTTTTGTTCATTTCATGTAGGGAAGAGTGAGCAATAGCCCTTTGTCCCTTTGTGTACACAGTCTGAAGAGCTTGTTGGAAAAAAAATGTAGTCCCAGCTGTTTCACAGCAGTGTAAGCTGTCACAGGGCTTGAAAGAAAAGGAGAAAACCCCCACCCACAATACAAAACAGCTTGTCACTGCATTATCTTTTCCCAAAGTGATAATGAAACACAGGAGCAGCTGCCTGGCAGCCCCAAACAGAAGTGGCAGGGTTGGTACCCTCCTTGTCAAGCTGAGTCCTATTTGAAGCACATCTGATGAGTCAGCCTGCTAATTACTGGCAGGCAGGGAAGGCACTGCAGGATGCTGCAGGTGACATTTGCCCCCCTCCTGTGACCCATGGGGCACTCACACCAGGGAGAAGGAGGTAGAAGAAAGAATCGACAACAAAACCCCATTTATAAGATTGTGCATCTTTAGTGGGTCCCTCGCCCACACCTTGGCAGAGATGTCTTCAGGTGCCCCGGGCCCGACAGACAGTGCCGGGGCCGTGTACTTGCTGGAAGGCTGAAGAAGGAGCAGCAGAACCTCATGAACCCTCAGACTACAATGAACTTACTTACTTACTTATTTTACCCATTAATTATGGAGCCTTCCCTCAATAGCATGTATAGCAGTAAGCACCTTGGAGGGAGGCACCTTATGGGAAGAAAACGTACTTTCCTGGGAAAAAAAAAGCATTTCCTGGCCTGGGGAGATGC